AAAAAAATAAAAGAAGGATAAAAAATATAAAATAAATAAATAATAATAAATAATAATTTTTGCCTGGAAAGTTTGATTTTTTAAAAAAACTATTAGCAAATGCTAATGCACTGACAAACTAGAAAATACACTTCTCTCCATGGTACCAGATCATTATTGCAGGTGGGATGTGTTATCCATAACTGCAAACCAAATATAGTAACAACTTTATGTCAACAAAATTGCAATCTAAGGTTTTCTACAAGCTAGACTGATTGAAATGGAGCTGAAAGGCAGTTCATGTGTTTTGGGGGGAGGGTACTGGGCGTATTTGGGGGTGTGGCTGTGGTCTCTCAAGTAAGGCAACACCAACAAACACCAAGAGATTGGGGTGGGGGGAAAGGGGGCAAGGTTCTAGTGATTTTAATAGTTTGAAATAAATCACATTGGTTTGCTATTAATGTCATGTGATTGAGAGGAAGGCCGTTTATCGACAGAAGTGGGAAAATCATTGTGTGGTAGAGCTTGTTAATCACTGTCTTAAATTAATTCACACACAAAACAGTTTTCTGTTTTTGTGCTCTTCCCTTTCTTATGTCCTTTTAACAATGTAAGCACTTTTAAGTAGTAGAAGAATTCTCCTCTGCACCAAGCAGGGTATTCACACTGTTACTTGCGGACCATTTCTTAACTCACAAGGTAGTTTTGAATGTATTTTGTCTTCTAGGGGTATCAGTGATCCTGACCAATTTTGTGTCATCTGAAGATCTGATGAGCAGTCCCTCCAAATTTCCATCCAAGTCATTAATGAAAATAGTGAACAGTAGAGTATCCTGCACTGAGCAAAGGGTTGGACTACAATTCTATAAATCTACACATCTACTCTAATTTCTGATTGAATTTTAAAGAACAGGTTTGGAGCTACTTTTTAAATATCCCATCTTTAACAATAATCAACAGTATTGTTACCCCTTATTTAAAAAAAAAATGGAACTGAATTTTTTAAAAATAATTCAGACTTTTGATTTTCAAGATCTCCTATCCCATTTCAGTTATGGGTAGTCCTCGCTTAACGACCGCAATGGACCAGAAAATTTGTCATTAGGCGATGTAGTTGTTAAGCGAGTCACCACATGACTGGACCTGATTTTACGACCATTTTCATGATGGTCATAAAGTGAATCATCATGTTGTTAAGCAAATCATGCAGTCGTTAAGCGAATCCAGCTTCCCCAATGGACTTTTTTGCTGGAAACCGGCAAAAAAGGTCGCAAATCGTGATTGCATGACCGCAGGATGCTGCAACTGGTCATAAATGCAAGCTGGTTGCCAAGCAGCTGAATTGCGATCATGTGACTACGGGGTGGTGCAATGGTTTGCGATGGGTGTGTGAGTACAGGTCGTAAAGCACTTTTTCTGAGGCTGTCATAACTTCAGACTGTTGTTAAGCGGTTGTTAAGCGAGGACTACCTGTATTGAATTACCATACTGTACTTTCTAGACACTTTTCTATGTTGCTCATGTAATTTTTTCCATCCCAGTTTTAGGTAAATTGTTAATATTAACCCATAGAAACTGGACCTAGTGTGATCTCTAAAGACTATCTCCAACTCAGCTTTAATTGGAAGAGCACCATTATAGAATCACAGAGTTGGAAGGCGAGATTACCATCTCTTCCTAACAGTAAGGTCAGTTCAACAATTGAACCAAAATTGTTTTTTAACATTCAGTAGGCATATGTCTTCCTATAACTTAAATTCATTATCCCATAGCTTGTACTCTGGAGCAAGAGAAAGCAGATCATTACTTTCTTCTATGACATAGAATCTACGTGAGATCCTTTTGGGTATTTGAAGAGTGTTATCCTATCCCCTCTATGTAATCTTTTCTTAAGACTAAACATACGCAACTCTTTCAGTCTCTCTTCATATTACTTAGATTCTACTCCTCTAATCATCTGGTAGTCTCTTCCTGAACATTTATCAGTTTCTCTGAATCTTCTTAAAGCACAGTACTCAGAACTGGACATAATACTCAAGGTGGGATTTGACCAAAACAGAATAAAGTGGAACAATTACTTCCTGTTATTTGGGAATTATATTTCTGCCAATGACCTATGGTGGGCAACCATCCTTGACCTTTTAATACCATCAACCATGGTATCCTTCTGGACCAACTCCAAGTTTGAAAGTGGGAGGCACACTGTTATGTTGTTCTCCTTCCTCTATGATTAGTTCTAATCAGTATTGGTGGAAGGGGAACAGTCTAGCCATAGGCCTCTTTCCTCACTTTTCTTTGACATCTACGTAAAACTGGTCATCTGTCAGTATGGGATAAAGTATCAGTATGCTGATGATACTTGATTGTACCTCTCTGCTTTGGGCCAACCAAGTGATGCTGTCAAGGTGCTGTCTATGTCTGGAAGCTGTGGGGATGTGGGTGGGGAAAATTAAACTTTAATTCAATCCCAGCAAGACCAAGTGGTTGTGCTTTTGGGTCCTTCCAATCCTAGAATGGAGATTTTCCAGCGTTAGTTTTGTAATGGGTTGTATTCCTCTGCTTAGAATCAGTGTGTAATTTGGAAATTCTCCTGGACTTAAGTAGGTGGCAGCTATGATGAAGAGGGCCTTTGCACAACTTTAGCTGGTATTCAGATTGTACTTGTTGCTGGACTGTGATGCTTTGCTCGCACTCACTCATTCCTTAGTCATCTCCTGATAAGATACTGCAATGCACTCTACATGGAGTTGCCCTTGAAGATCATTTGGAAGCAGCTATTGCTTCATAGTGCAGAGGTGCAGGTAGTTATGGGCATACCATGGTATGTTAAATAACACCACTACTTCACAAGCTGCACTGGCTCCTGATTGTCTTCTGGATGCAATTCAAAGTTCTAGTTATCATCCAGAAAGCCTACATAACACAGGATTGGGGGTTTTTTGCAGGACCACTTATCCCCAGTTATATCTTCTGTTTCACGCACTATTCTAGGTTGCATGCTGCAGGTTATTTCTTTGGATCAATGTCATCCAATCTGACCTAGAAAGTATGTCTTTTTGTGGTAGCATCTGCCCTCTGGAATGATCTCCCCACCCCAATATTTGACCCCAATTCTGCTGGCCTTTTGGAAAGTATTAAAAACCTGGTTTTCCCCAGGTTTTATGTCAGGATGTTAGATGTACCTGTCTCAGGGATGGATGATGTGGTAGCCAGCCAGAATGTATGTTTTGCAAATTTTATTAATTATTGTTTTTAATATTTTGCTAGCTGTCTAGAGTTGCTCTGGCAAATGGATGGCCATATAAATTATTTAAATAAATAAAAACTGTATTTTCCACTTAACTAAAATGTGCGAAAGTAGACAATCTCCATTTCTAGCATGCTGATAAAAACATGCCCAACAAGTCTTATGATCTTCAGTGTTCAACTGCATTTGCTGGTGGAAAAAGTAGCAAAGAGTCTTACTCATACAGTACAGCCTAATATAGCTGAGGGTCTTTCCAGACTCTGTGGTTTCCCTGAAGAGAGGGGAGGAAATCAACTACTTACATAGCCATCTATCCTGACAATGTCACCACTTGATTTTTGTATTGTTGCTTCTCGCATTTCATTCACTAGATACATGAATGCCATGAAACATCTTTTCTTCTTTAAGAAAGTATGATTATCATATTTGTTCTAGTGTTCATTTGTACAACTAGGAGGAACAATCATGCTTATTTCATTTATGTATAAATATTGATAATTTAAATGTACAAAGTTCCAGTGTTCAAAGCTTCAATGTACATAGAAACAGGAAACTAGCAACTGATAAAAACCATCAAACCCTTTCTCCCCATTTCTCATCAAATCTGCTGAAATACACTTTCAAAGGATGAAAAGAACTACCCTGAGTAGGATAAGTGCATCTTGTATCTTTTCCAAATCTTTCAAAGTTATTCTGGATATTCCCATTAAAAAACAAACAGACATTTTCTTAGTTGGCCTTACTGCTTTCTAAAATAGTATGAATTAACTTCCATTGCCTCCTAGGCAACAGAACTCCTAGGCAACAGAATTAGTGTTAAACTGGTGTTTTCTGCACCATAATGCTTAAACATAAATGTTATTAAAAACCTCTCCATAACTCTTAGGAAGCTTTTGTCAATATTTCTCTGTGTCCTTAGACAAGTCAGTGTCTAAGGACAGGTGACTTGTCTTTAATATGGGGGAAAAGATTTATCTGCAGCAAATGATGTCTATAGCTCTAGAGAGTATGTCGAGGAGCAGGTGGCAGCTGTGGCTAGGGGGACCTTTGCACAGATTCATTTTGTGCACCAGTTGTGCCCTTTCCTGGACCAGGAGGCTTTTCTCATGGTCACTCATACCTTGGTCACTTCTTGTTTGGATTACTGCAACACACTCTACATGGGACTGCCCTTGAAGACCACCCAGAAGTTACAACTGATCCAGAATGTGGCAGTGCATGCAGTGATGGGTGCCCCTCGGTTCACCCACATTACACCCCTGTTGCGCAAGCTGCACTGGCTCCCACTTTCCTTCCGGGTGCAATTCAAGGTGCTGGTTGAAAGTCCTGTATGGCACAGGATCAGGTTATTTGCAGGACTGCCTCTCCCTAAGTACATCTGCCCGTCCTACCGGATTGGATAGGATGGGCACACTTGTAGTCCCTTCCCTTAAATGTTGCCATCTTACAGACCTAGGAAGCATGTCTTTTCTGTGGCAGCCCCTTCCCTATGGAACGCTCTTCCCCCTGAGGTTTGGCAGGATCCTCCCCCCTTTCAATTTTCCAAAAAGCACTTAAGATCTGGCTTTTCCCCCAAGTGCTGGGATAGGGTAAGATTGGTGGTATTAACTTCTTGTAGGCTTCATGGGAAAGTTTAGCTATGGTGCCAGGTCTTTTGGTTTTAACATTCTTTATTGTAGACAGATATTGTTTTATTTTTGAGTTGTGAGCTGCCCAGAATTTGGTTTAAGATGGGTGGTTATATAAGTGTTTTAGGAACTTCTAAGAAAGAGAGAGAGTGATCTCTGTCTGAAATACTGAATGAACTGTGGACAGTAGTGAGCTAGTTAGACCAACAGTCTCACTCAGTACCTAAGCTAACATAACCTACTAAGCCATAAACTATGATATACAAATCATTTTGGTAAAAACCAAATAAATAATGTTGTGGCTTAGTGAACAATAGGAACCTGGTACTGTCCAATATCTTTATGTTGAAAATGAAGCAGCCCTGCCTCCAGACATTACATTGAAACCAAGCTTCTCTCTGTTCTGATTCACACATGCTCTAAGACTTAATTTGATTTGTTTCTGACTATGTTGTGTGAAACTGTGGTGATTTGTAAACTATGGTTTGTAGCCTCTGTGGCCTATCATGTTCTGCAGATACAGCTAACTATGGTCTATTCAGTTAAGCTGTTGTTTACATTATGTGTTAATCCAAGTCTTTCAGCTTTACCTTTATCCCTTGATAAATACTGCCTGTCCTAACTGAGCTGAGAGGATAAACAGATTTTTTAAACAGAATAGTTTCTCAAGCAATCAGTTCACCAATATGAATGAGCTCCTTGTAGTTATTTCTACAAGTATTGCATAGAATTAAAAGGGGCAGAGTATGAATTTGTCCCTAACATTGTCTGGGAATCAATCAATCAAGGCCAATAGCACACTAACAGTATATCTCTATACATGTCTACTTAGAAAAATCTTTCATTAAATGCAAGGTGGCCTACTCTCAGATCATTATACTGTAATCCTTTATTTACCAGCATAATCATCACTATACAGTGGTACCTCGGGATACGAACTTAATCCGTTCCGTGACTCTGGTTGCAACTCGAGTTGGTCTCAAGTCGAGGTAAAGTTTCCCACAGGGTTCAATGTAAATCCGGTCAATCCGTTCCGCCAGCAGAATTTGGTCGCAACCCGAGGAGAATTCCCCCATAGGGTTCAATGTAAATCCGGTCAATCCGTTCCGCCAGCAGAATTTGGTCGC